GGTGTACCTAATAAAGTGGCCGGTGAGTGTAAGTTTTTAAATGGGACAGTCTAGTCTTTAGATGACGTATGAGACCATGCACTACTCAGTTACCATATGTTTTATATCACATCACCCATAAATGCCTAAAACTTAAAACTTGATGCACAACTTGACAAAATTCATTGTTTAGCTTTATGATCAATGCTTGTAATTGCATTTTATTTAATGTCACATTACAGCAAAAAATTTCATCAGCCAAGTTCCTACACAATAAGCTCATTGGTTCACGATGACTTTCCAAACTCTCTTTTCTTTTTTCCTGTGTAGTTTGCTGAACGCGCAATAAATCCTGGGATACCATCAGCTGCAAAAGATAGTTGGATGCAGCCTTTGTTTTCTGGGTTTCGTGGGTTGCATTTGTCGGCCGCATGAGTCCACAAAACGGGACAGCTTTCGGCACCGTGCGGTGACGTAACCTGTCTACAAATGCGAACTAGTTGTACTTCTGTACATTTAGAGCCCCAGAGTTGAGACGCAAACATGGATAGTACATGTATCGACTGACTGTCACATGTAGTGCTGTGTGTGTTATTTTTGRCAAAGAGCTGATGTATAAGCCTGAAAGATGTTTTAAAGAACTGCCACTTGTTTGGATAGACATTAGCCTAGCCTGGACATGTGTTCTGACTGAACTCACAGCTGATAAGGAACCAACAGAACACATCAGACCTGACTGAACCATCCCTATAAGTAACTGTGCTGACTAYACTGTTGGTTTTATGTAAATATGACGAAACCTTCCTCTTTTCATATAAAACAAATACTTTTCAAAAGTCAGATCAATGCAAACATGTTCCACTCTTTGTCCCATTTTAAATGCCTTAGAAGAAGTTTAACTCAATGAGCAAAGGAAGAATGTTGTTGCAAACTTATCTAAGGACTTAAATATGTCCAACACCAACAGATTTCAAACTAATTTTCTCAGCAGCTTAAACACATCTTAAAATACCTTCATGTTTTCTCTGAGCGAGTCGTTTGTCAGATTAAATGTGGTTTTAACAGAATCGACAGCAAGTACCAGAAACCATGCCAAGAAAATAATCACTAAATCTCTTTATCGGTAGCCTGATACGYGACCATTTAGAGACAGACATCTTTTTCCATAACGAGTTTAATAACAATCGGGGACAGCTGGTTGTAAARTCAGACAAAGTTTAAGTAGAAGGAACTAAAAGCACTTTAGTGAAATATCTTGCAAAGAAGTTGAGAGAATTGGCTCTAATAAATATAGCTAAGCTTGAAGCGCTCTCTGGAGCTGAACATTTTCTCACAATGTAAGCCATGTGTGTGTGTGGATGCATTTTTGCTACATCATGGGGACCATTTTCCAGAAAAACACCACCTTGTGGGGACACAAAGCATCTCATAGGGACCAAAGCCGGTTCCCCATGGGTATGAATGCTGATTTTGGGTGGGTTTGATTTAGGCATTAGAAATGAATGGAAGTCGATGCAAAATGCAAACAAGTACAGAGAGACAAGTGTGTGTGTGTGTGTGTGTGTGTGTGTGTGTGTGTGTGTGTGT